TGAATTTACTCCTTCTACCTCATAAACAAATCCACAATCTATGAATATGCAAACTGTGTTCATTTTTAATGTTTTCTTGCTGGACACGAGGTGTCTCCTACTTCACTGTGAAGTCCATTCTCAGTATATGTGTACTGGTGGATCACACTGTAGAAGATGCATACTGGACCAAAATATTGTGATGTGACAAATTGTGCTTGTAGGCCCCACCCCTTAAAAATTTTAATTTTCATTGACCACAGAGAATCTTTCAGCAGATGAATGCAAAAACATCCTTTTAGTGTCAAACTCTGCACACACATCATTCTGTGCAGTGAAGCTCAAACATCACACTGTATGACAAAAACTGATTTTAAATTGAAGAGGGAACCTTTAAATTAAATTTCTGTGTTCAGAGTGGCAAATTTATTTGATTTCATTTCAATTCACTATTAAAAATCAGTTTTTTGAGACCTGAAACTTGCTGAAGATTGATAATCCATCACAGAATAAATAAGCACTTTTTTATAATCATGACCTAAAGACAAGCAGAATTTATCTTCTACTGTTGTTGAAAACTCAAACCAAGACAAACTAAATATAAATCATTACTACAGTAATGTTTAAAGCAAAGGGAGAATTTGTAAGTAAGTGTGTGTGTGTGTGTGTGTGTGTGTGTGTGTGTGTGTACCTGTCTGTACCTGTGTGTATGCTGTCCACAGAGGCATGGCCAGCTCTCTGCTGTACCCGCTGATGAACTCCACATGATGAAGCAAACTGTACTGAGTGTCAAACATCACGGCTGGACGACCAAATGGGAGGTGTGTACTGTCTGCACAAACACACACACAGGGGCACACACAGTTACTCCCTATTGGCTGAGAGAAGAATGAAGTTTTATCGAACAAAAAAAAAAAATTTAAGAAACCTACTGTAACTGTAGATTCCATCTGGTGGAGGACTGAAGGCTTCAATGATCTCCTCTACTTTGTTCTGTAACAGAAAAACACAAGATGTTATTCTGCCCCCTCATGGAGAAACATGGACTGATGCAGCCTGTGTCAGGCATGATGTTTTGTGACGCCACTGTGCTCCTCTGACCTCATCATCACAGCTGCAGCCCAGGTCGTGGGTCACAGTGGCATCAGGGTCGGACGTCGGCGATGGCGGCGTCACTTCCTCTGGCATGCTGGGGTGGTACAGCGGTTCTTTCAGCATATCGTTCAAGCTGCCGTGTGTGCCGTTGTTAGGGGCCGGCTTCAACCCCAACAAGTCTGACAGAGAGATAAAAAACATGATAGGAACCATCAGAAATGTATCTGAACATGTATATTCTGGGATAAAATCAACTAGGTTCAGATAAAAAGGTTTTGGAGTTAACACATTACACAAGAAAAGGTTTAACTCCCTAATTATGACATTACTATGGCATCACTAAAGTCCTGCCCATACTGACTAAAAGGAAACCATTAAGGGAAAATAGTAATCTCACCACACATGACGTTATATAATTCTATATTTTCAAACTCTGGCACTCTTTTCTGGAACTTGAAGCTCGGCCCATGACCCATGAATATGGTCTGCATGAAGGAAAGAAGAAATGTACACAGTAAACATACAGTTCTCTACTAAATCAGTGTTAAACTTGCATTAAAATGAATGTATAGCATCTGTATTACACCTATTAAACAGTAGCTGAACAGTGGTTGCTTGATGATAGTGATACATCGGAAGCGATTTGCCGATGATGGTGAGGTGTTTTTTACAGTTCAACAAATGGTCACACCAGAGAGAAAAAAACTGGTTTATCTGGTTTCAATCTTAAATCAATAATCCTGTAACCTTAGAGGTGTATTGTAGTTACAGTTAGAATATAATATATATAATACAGGAGAGAAAAATAGGTATAAAACACCACAGTACCCTCATGCTGGTTATCTTGTTATCAAAGCCGTGGTCACCAAAGAAACCACACCGAGTCCTCAGTTTTTCTGGCATTTTCCTGGAATAAATACAAAAATAAACATAGAATATTGAAATATAGTGAAACTGTAGAGAACATTAAGAATAATTCCTGCCATGATTTCTCCACATGAAGTGAAACAGAAACTAAACAAACATAAAAACTCCCAAATCTTAAGTTCTCTCACTGCTGGGTGAAATTCCACCATGTTATCAGTTGTTAATTTTGATGACAGGGAATTTTTCACTTTATCAGAATATACTGTTTTCCCTTTACCCAACAGACTTAGAATATGTTCTAAGAACCTTTTGGCATTTTGTCTTTTTTCTACCTGATGAAGTCAACTTTCTACCACACAGACAGAAGGACTGGGCTCTTGCTGTTGGTAGTGTAAAGGTAAAAGAGCAGAGCACTTACCACACAACTTTGTGTCCTTAGGTTACAATTAATCAATAATGAGGAAGATAATAGTTAGTGAAGTCATCATTTTATTTTATTTTTTGCATTTTTACTGGGCAGTCCATGTTGTCAAATATCTCTCAGGTCTTCTTTCGTCATTTAGGCTCCAGTCAAAAGTTTTCACAGATTCAAGAGTTTAAGTTGGACCTGATCTTAAACTCAGCTGCACTAAAAGGTGGACCTGAGAGCTGGTTCGGGTTGGGTAATGTTGGGTTCTCAATGCCGAGGAGAGCCAAGGACTTTAATTAAATGTGAAATAGAGAGCACAGGCTGCTCGAGGCTTCCCCTGATTGTGTCATTTCATTTAAACTAAATCAGTACGTCACAGGTTACCTGGCGATGTGCCACTTCCTCTCCATCAGCAGGTGGACATCCTCGATCCTGCGGTTGTTGGCGTAGTGAAGCCTCTTGGGTAAATGCTGCTTCAGGTACGGCTTGAAGTGCTGAGTTGGCATTTTACACTAAAACAACAAATATGTAGGTGAACGACCTGACCCCTTTCTCTCTCTCTCTCTCTCTTTGAGAAAGTACTGGAACAATGGTTTTGTTTTTGTAGTACTTACAGTGAGGTTTGCAACCACAACTTTGGGGTCATCTGGAAAGGAAAATATTACATCAAAATGAAGTCTGTTTTATTTTGTGAAAATATTCTGATACAGTCTCGTGTTAAAACGACCGCTCTCATCTTACATGTGGTGGATTTGGGGTCGCGGGGTCGTATTCTGCCCAGTGAGCCGGGGATCAGCGTGATCTCATCTATGTTGAGCGGGTAGCTGCTGAGAAATTCTGTCTGATCGCAGTGGGTCTCCTCCATACCTGAGAGACAGAAAAGACAGCCACGGTTTCTGTTATTATAATTTAAAGGTCAGTTAACCCTAAGTAACGTAAAAAAATTTTTGATAGTTTTGTTATGTGCCAACATTTGACACAAATGCTTCTGACAATACACTGGAGCTGAACAGGACTTAAGCTTAAAGTGTCTTTCCAACAATGTCCCAGTTACTCTGAATCTGCAGAGCTCACTGTCAACAGTTTCTACAGGGCCTATTTCTTTTGTAGAAGTCGTTCCAGTAAAAATGATTCAAGGAATTAGACTTGTAGTCTGTATGAATCGAGCCAACTCAACCCACATGACACTGCCAAATATGAGACCTGAATGCGACCCAAGACCTGAGGCTAATCTTATTTGTTATGGGCTGTTGGCTCACCAGGCTAATGCAAGTCATTGGCTACATTTACCTCTCCCCACTGGGGACTGTAAGTAAATTAAGAAGAAAATCACAAACCCAATACATGGGTTTGAGGTAGCAGAACTGTACTGTGCAATATCCAAAGAAACAATGAATTGTGAATGTTTTTGACAGACAAGCCACAGTTGAGCTTTTGCGGTGTAGGTTTCATTCACCTCTATTGTTTGGGGTTGGAGGCAGAAATCTTAGATACAGATATGTTGAAACTCGGGTGCATAAAACTACAACAAAGTGAGACGGTGAACTGACCGTAGTAATGAAGATAAAAAGGCATGATTAAAATCCAGAGCACAGTCAGTATATTTATATAACCAGCTTTATAATGGTTTTGTTTTGTTTTTTTGGGTTTATCTTGTTTTTTGGAGGCATTTGTAAGTCATCCATTTACTTATTAACTTCAAACAAACTGGCCAGAATTAACTGAAAAAAAAGAGATAACACAAATGTCCAGGCTTCAAAGATTATATGGTGGTCCTACCATGGTCCCCTACGACAATAACGTTGATGCAGCGATGCAGGTTCATCTGCTTCAGACCGTTCATCAGATGACCGATGATGTTGTCGATCTCCCTCAGAGGGTTGTCCAGCTATACACAGGGGAGGAAAAACAGCATGTAATAATGTAATGGAGCACGACCCCAATGACGCACACACCTCCACTCTCAGGCCTCACACTCACCTCACTGCTGAGCGGTCCCAGCCGATGTCCGAAGGTATCCGGCTGCTCTGAGTGGACAGCGTAAACGTACGGCCTGAAGAGAGACACACACACATTTTAATCATGATTTTCACCTTAAAAATCAGTTCAGACTTGTAAAAAACTTGTTGTTTCTGGCAGTGAGCGTCTCACCTCAACTCACACAGAACAAAGAAACATGAAAATCTTGTCAACCCACTGCCTCAGTGCACTAAAAACAGCTTGTGACCCCTTCACTGACCCAGGTTCAGCTCAACACTAAAAACAACCTTTATCTTCAAGTCTCCAAGAGGCACTCACTGACACGCCTGACCAAATATAAAACACACAGCACTTCTCATATAAACCCATATACAACCCTCTTGACATCTTTGACATACATTTTAAGATATAAATGCAGGAGCATTACCTCACCAGAAATTAGAGAAATAAATTCTAAAGTATACATACTTCCAGTAAAACGTGCACAAGACCACAGCTTGTTCATGTAGCTGCTGACAGAATAACCACAGTCACTTTATGCTCATAATAAGCATGAGGAGTTTCTGGGGAAAAGAAACTTGAAACCTGACCTGAGTTAAGTAAGTACTCAATATGGGGAAACAGTTAGGATTTAATCTAGAAATCTGGCATGTGTGTTACGGTAAAAGGAAGGAAAAAAATTACATAATGAGCCTCATTCATAGTTTCCTGTTCCATTCAGTGGTGACATTTTATTCACCAGCTTTATGTCTGCTGTTGACATGCATTTAAAAAAACACTCCATTATAATCATTCCATGATGAACTTAAACACAGTTCTTTATATTCTGGGGACAGACAACCTGGAGGGAAAAAAGAACCATAACCAATAGTTATAATGCCCAAAAGTACAGTTGTATTGCAGCTGTGCGGTTCCCACAGCAGACATTTTGTCAAACACAAGTATGACTAATAACATCAGTAATGACTGCAGTCAGTTTAAATCAGCCAGTTCCAGGAGCCCGGTGTTGTGCATATGGTTTTGGCTCTGTGTCTTGGCTTATTGGGACACTTCACTGGAACTGCAAGTCAAAGTTTCTGCAATGAGAAAGACCCACATTTCCAAGACCCAAATAAAACTACATTTTTCTCAAAACCCTACATGAAGAGTAGACAGACGTACCTCTCATCATCGGGCAGATGCAGCCAGCGCAGGATGGTCAAAATCCTCCTCTCCAGAGGAATCACCCTGGAAACCAAACATAGCGAATGATGATGAAGAAGCACGATGTCAGTTTAAACTATAACTGGCTTTTATCACATATTCTTCACAGGATATATTTGGATATTTACTGGATTAAAAGAACCACCTGTTCTTATGAACAAAAAGGAAAAAAGGGGAGCTGATCTGTCTGTAATTGTCTGTGTGTCCTTGCACAAAGACAGTGGAAACAGAGTAATAGACGTAAGCCTTGTTACAAGCAATATCTATAACACTGAGACATAAAAACCAGTCTGGTGCCTCTCCTTTACCACTTTGTCTTGATTCAATTTATTTTTGCTCGATGCTCCAACAAACAGCTGTTTCGGCGGCTTTGAGTCTTCAATGGCCTCTGTTGTGACTGAGTATGTGGGGGAATTGTCTTGTGATTGTGTGTCTGTGTGATTGGGGCCATTGTCAGGATGTGATGAGCGCTCAGCCTCTTACCCTCGTGATCATTATGTCATGGATATGCAAATGCTTTCTGAAACTAATCTGTCTGTGCAGTCATTTAGGTGAAATAAAGAGAAAATCACCTTTAAATCTTTATCTGATGATAAACTAAGATCATCTCTGGATTCTATTCCTGCTTCTTTATACTTTTGTAATGACATTATGAGTTAGATTTGGGAAATGGGAATATAAAATCAGTTTAAACCAATTAATTTAAATAAATATTTGTATTTTTCGTTGAAAATCAAAAATTAACAATAATTAGCCATATTGGGTGATTTCAAGGAATATTCTATTTTCTGACATTTCAAAGTTCAGCTTTTAGAATAAATGTTGGACCAACACTGGCTGCAAGTATACAGTAACACATATTCTTTGCCTCCTAAACCAACCATGAATCTTTTTTCTCTCAACTTCAAGGTTCTGGAAGTTACCGGTGCCGTGCTGCGTTCCGTGTCTAAAGCTATTGAAAAATATTCCAGTACTAACTTAAGTACCAAGGCCAGAAGAAAGTGCCTGCTTTCACTCCTTGTTCCTCCGCTGTGATCCAGATCTGTGAAACAGAACAAGAAGGAGGTTATCAGAAATCAAATGTCCCTCCTCAGCATACTATGCTTAAAAATCCCACAGTGCAATGCGTCACCTTTGCTCCTGAGGTCATACTGCTGTGTCTCAGTTCCATACTACTAACTCATTGTACACAATGTTCAGATCAGTTTAATCTCTCTGAATCCAGGACCATCATAACGATTGGTTCAGGAAGGGTGTTTTTGCATAGCTTAGCACAACACACTAATAAAAACATACCTATGAATATTGTCTTCCATTTCTGCCAATAGATCCTCCTAAATGTTACACACTGGACCTTTAATGGGCCTCCAGAATATGAAACTAGACTGTGAGATTTGTGACTTACAAAGTTTCAGTTGTGTCAGAACCTGAAATCAGTCTAATGAAGTGACATACCGTAACGGAGTGCTAACCAGTTCAGGCTTTTAGTTTCTTTCACTACAGTTTAGTTAGCCAGCATGTGAGTTTGAACTGAATCCAATCCAATCACAGGCTGGTATCTAGAGTGTACTCACAGGCTGTCCGCCCCACCAGCGGTGGTTCAGTTTCTCTCTGGTGCGCAGACTGAAGGTGGCATTAAACACCGGGTCGTGCATGGTGTTCCCCACAATCCCATGGGACTCTGGGTAGAGACCCTGCAGAGAGAGCAATGCCAGTGCAGTTAATGAAAGTCAGCCCTGCAGCAGCGTCACAACATCTGCAGGCTGTAGGACCTTATGAACAGGGCTATTGGCAAACATTTGTATTGACTTAGCCCAACATAGGAGTACATATTAACAGCACTGCTCTACTGTCCCCTCTGGTGTTGCATGATAAAAAATATGAACCGGTCATTCAGACATTACCCAGGATCACTTACTGTGGCTAGTGTATATAAATTTGGGAAGGTCTTCGATGGGTAGACTGGTCGCATGTAGGGTGCTGAAGTACCACATGCGCCTAAGAGGAAGCAAATGTAAACTTTTCATTATTAAACTTCATAAAAAAAATATTTTAAGCACTACAATCAAGATCAAACCTGCAATTAGATGATACATTTATCTTCAGCTAAATTACAGGACGAGCTTCACACTGTCACACAGATCAGGACTTCGCTACAACTGCATTTAGGAAATGAAACGTAAGAAAAAGTACAGAAGACATACGGAGTTTATGTATGTTGGGAATGACAGATTTGCCCTTCTTCAGGTAGGAGGCTCTGAACCCGTCGACAGACAGCATGATGAGGGGAGGACGGATGAAGCTGAGCAAAAAAAAGTTAAATTGACTGGTGGCAATTGCATCATTTTAAAAGGACAGAATGAATGGATCCTTATGAATATGGTAGGTGTTGATTAAATACATCTTCATTCATCTTCTCTTAAATAAAATAAAAACAAAATGTGTCAATTACAGCGTCAGCACACACAGTGGCTCTTATGTTTCATTGTTGCTGAGTTTTTCAGTTTCAGACTCACCCTGCAGGGCATTCCGCACTCTTGATGTCCTCACAGTCTCCTTGCACCCATGAAGTCTCACCTCACATGGAAACAACAGCACAGAGTGATTGCCTACTTCCATGCTCATTCACTCACCATTTCTAATCATATATATGTATACTGGTAAAAGTGTCAAACTTCTCTGATTTCAACTTCTCAAATGTAAGAATATCCTCTAACCTCTGTAAATTTAATATCTTGGGATCTTTGGAAACAGTGATCAATATTTCTCACCATTTTCTGACCTGTTATGGATCAAGTGATTAATCGATTAATCGATAAACTGATTGACAGATTAATTGCTAATGAAAAATATATAATGAAAATAAGCATTCGTTGCAGTCCTACTCTCACAATAAGTACCTTTGCAGAGTGACTTGTAGTTGGAGCAGCAATCTCCCTTCTCCAGACAGTCCTCTGAGCAGTGGCAGGCGTGGTCGTCATTCCTCTCCTCCCCGCAGCGAGCCTGAGTGCACTCAAAACCTCCCGCTGAGATAGAGGAAGGAGGGAAGTTCATGAACATAAAACCCTCCCAGTGAGGCTGACAACCATATGAAAAACATCACGAACAAATGGCATTGACAACTTAGATCTCCTCCAGTCTGTTACGAATTATCCGGTTACAAGCAACTTCTTGTAAAAGAAAACCCTCACAAGTATCTCATGGTTGTAGAATTCATGAGCTACAATCATCATATTGTTTTGTTCTGGAAAATGTCCCAGTCTGGTTACCATAATGTTTTCAAGATTAAATTGTCTCTTTATCCAGCAAAGTTCTAAATTAGCATCAGATGAAAATTTTAGCATTTTGGCTAACTCTCAGACTTTGTCTCAATGATGTAACAGCTAAGTGCTTATCATTGTGTAAGCTGAGCTTTCTGAGTACTGGAGCTACTGCAGTACTGCTGTGAACTATTATAATAGATAACTCCACTACTGCTACTGATATTAGTCAATCTGTGTGTGTACAAAATGTGTAAATAAACCTGAAAAAAGTCGTCAATAAACACACTATTAACTTCCATCAATGGAAATTCAAACAGGAAAAACAACATACACCCACACTGTATAATATACGGAGACTCTGGATCAGTCTGGTGATATTCTGTCTGTGTCTATTCTTATTGTCAACAAATCTTATGAAAAGATCAAAACCAACAGTGAATTCACTAACAAGTATTGTATCAAAGCCAAAAACTGCCACAGTTAGAATGGCAGCAGGATTTATTCATGTTGTATCGTAACTTTTTCGGAATTTCGGATATGGAATTCATTTGCAGCTGCTACAGTTCAAGATGAGACCAAAGCCTTGTTTTTAGCCTAACAATTGTTGGGTAGGTTTTAATGGCATTTAGTGTCACTTCACCCTCCCCCTTCCAAGAGAAACTATATATATATATATATAGTAATTAACTCATCAATAGTAATATATAACTATATGGCTGCAAAAAGCATGAAACACCCCTATCTAGAGCTAATGATTGTAATGTTTTTGTCCCTTCTGGGCTACTGTAGAAACATGGTGGTTCATCATGGTGACCTCCACAGAAGGCGACCCGCGGCGTCTGTCGATATAAAAGGCTCATTCTAAGGTAACAAGAACATAACGATTGTCAGGTGATATCCCCTAATGAAAACATACATGGAGTGAAGCCTGCAAGCTAGTTCAGGCAGTCAACTTGAGCTGCGCTGATATACACACATGACATGCCTTATTCCATAATCACTAACCAAGCGCTCCTTTCCAATCTGGTCTATTTAAACTGCAACATTTCCCAGCTCTCCCTCTGCTCTGTCAATGCCTGTTGCCTTGCATCCGTATTGCTGCTGCTGCTGCTGCTGCTCTGTAAGCTATTGCTGCCTGCTGCCAGCATCCACCTGTAGGCTCCGACTGGGGGTTAAGGTATTTGCACATCACTCCCCAATATCTCTATGTAAACATATGAGGTCGCAGCCTAGACGGCAAAATCTAAATATGCTATACTGCTTTAATAAACATTTCAAACGCCAGTTGTCTGACTGAACTATGAATATCATATTCCATTTCTGCCAATAGATCCTTCTAAATGTTACACACTGGAACTTTAAGAGGGGTGAGGAGTCAGCAGTCGGTATCAAACAGAGCAATCCATAAAGGAGGTTTTTCAAGGTTTTTCAGACATTTTGAATCAACAACCAGAAGAGGTCCATGAGCATACCGTCATAAATGATCACAAAATATATGAGGCTGAATGGTTGAGTAGTGCGCAAGATTATCTGCAGACAGACACACACACATGGACACACACACACATACACAACTGCCAAACTCATAATCGAGATAAAAACACCACCGTTATCCTTGAGGATAGAAGTAAGTTGATTTAGTATCCACTACAGGACATCCTTTAACATGAATACTGGGCTCCATAGAAATGCTCATCCATTGTTTGGCAAATTTCTACAAGAACATCTATATATGCACTTTGTGTATAAAACCTAAATACACACTGTTAATATAAAAGTCCATTATTAATTAGTCCATTATCAGGTAATTACTGAACTGCTTATATCAGCTTGAAAGAACTATGAGCACATACATGACTTCGTAAAACGATTAAAATTGATGCTTCAATAAAAATAAAATTGTTTTCAACTTTAAAATGTCCATTAATGTCCTTAAAAATACAGACAATCATGGGAGAAAAGTACCAGTCAAAAAGCAAGTTACAAAATTCTCACAATGTTAGAAATCTGTTAAATCTGAACAAAAACTTTATCCCTTGTTTCTTGACCAAAGGCATTTTTGATACCTGTTAAACTATCAAACAGGACAGAAATGACAGCGTCCTTGTCGGAGAATATTGTTAAAGAAGTTAAAACAGGAGAAGTGATGAAGTTGGACAACAGACTGACCTGTTTTCAGGCAGTGCTCGTCGAAGTCAGTGCAGCAGCTGTAGTAGGTTTTACACAGATTGTCACACCTGCATCCTGGAGGTTTGGCCTCCTCCAGCTCAAAGCACCTCCCCTTGCAGGAGCCCGCTGAGCTGATCCACTCTGAGACGACTGGAGAGAGGAGAGGGCCACAGTTAGACGCCACTGCTGCAAATATACTGTTAATAAAAATCAGTCCAATTTTTTTCTTTCCTAAGATTCATAGTTCCACCTTATTTGAAAGGAAATGTGTCAGCATCTTTAAAGAACCATACATTCATGCAAGTACAGTACACACATTACAGATGAAGGTTAAAGGGCCTTAACTACAAACACTACAAACTGTACGGTTTGATTGAAAAATCAAAGCACTCTGCAGGCAGTCTGTGGCGTCAGTTCACTTCAATACACAAGGAAAGAACCAGAAAGCCAAACAGTCTTTCTGTATTGTCAAGGTTTCAGTATCGTAGCATATGTGAGGACTGTTTTTGAAAGCTTGTTGGTATCTGAGTTTTGAGAGTAATGTTTGTTAATGCATGATCCTTATATTTCCACACCCATGTTTGCTTTGTGGTGGTTTCTGCATTGGATTTTACTCAGAATTGTTTTTCATCAACATAACATAATTAACGTAGTCTTTTTCTGTAGCACAGTAGTAATTCTGGGATGTCAGAGGATCCACGAATGCACTGAGATGGTCTCTGCTTCCCTGTATAGTGCCACATGATGAAAAATAACTGAATAAAACAACTACATGTCACTGTGATGACTTTAATTCTCTGTAGATTAAAGCACTGTGAAATGCTCTGAAACCAATGGCTGCCTGGAAGGACACAATCTAAGATCTAAAAGCGTGATCTGCAATAATGTAGAGTACAGCATGTAAACCACCAGCTTGGTGATTTAAAGAGTATATAATCAGCTTTATTTCACTACATGAGGAATTGTTTTGAATGTCAAAAAGCAGATCTTCCATTTTGTCCTGAATCAAACATCTACAGCTGTTCTCACCTTTAGTGTGAGGTGGTGGGTTGTCTCCTCCATCTAAAGGTCTACTGGCTTGAAAAACATAAGCTCTGCTGACATCAGTACCCCACAGACAGAACACAACCACTACCTGCAGAAAACACATTACAAAAACATACATCAAATAATTATTTATTGACTCCGATAAAGGAAATCTCTGTCCACTGTCCATTCAAGGGTTGCAGGTCAAAGGTCAGGCATCTCTGGGATGAGTAGAGCCTTAATGTCTTTTTACTCAAGGACACTTCAAGGTGCAATAGGTAAGAATTGGTCAAATTCAAACTCTAAATAGAGGAAAGCATATCACCAGAGTAAACGATATCGGCTGCTAACTGTAGCTGCCGTTAGCAGACCTAACTGTGCAGCTAGCAGTCAAAGTAGCTGTATATACTGTATGCTTTGGAACACAGAGAGGAGGACGTGGCCCAGGGCGGGAGGGATACTAGCGGGGACTGATGCTGGACTGGCCAGCGGGCAAACTGGTTTGTGACAGGGAATACAGTACCGAGGTGATTTGCAGCGGTTCTAACCAGGACTCTGACTCTCTAACTCTGGGAACAACAAAGACATGGCAGAGACCAAATTGAGACCAAACCAGAGCTTGTGAATGTTGGAACAGTGGTAAGACTAACTAAGCAAGTTGTGGCCAGTTTTATTTTAAGATGAGTTAACAAGTGATTAATTCACTTGTTAACTCATCTTAAAAAAAATTTCTTCAGAAACTTGAATTCAGAAGGTTGTAATAGGTGTAATACTATTTCCTTTTTAGACATTTTGACGTTTTTTTTTTGTTTATTTATTAGACTAAAAAAGTTAAGAAAGCTCAACTACGACAACAAGCTATACTGAGCTATCAGACTATCGCTTCTTGAGGTACAAGGTGGTATTATGAGAAAGGATGGGCCGAAGCAAGCTGGTTAGCATGCTAACTTTAGTAGATATCTCTGCAACACAATATATAGACGTCTTTGACACAACGACAAAACTAAAATTCTGACATATTACACCTTTAATGAGGATACTGACTAAAATAAGGTCTGGAAAGAGGGTCACTATGCTACCTTGTTGCCCTAACAAGGAGTTTGTTTTCTTCACCTCTGAGACACATTCATGTTCACTTCTCAGGGGTCAGAGGTCAACGGGCAGCCAGGAATGGCAACAGTAAAAAAGTTAAGTGTTCCACTCCTTCTATAGCTCAGAGAGAAGAGCCTGGCACTACAGATAAAGGTTCAGTTCCCATCAAAGCTACACAATGTGCTGTACGCACGGAGCTGAAGGTGGTCTGTGTGCCTGGATATAAACTGCTCCACAGAGCCAGACCAGAGCTGCTTCACTGTGAAATATACATGAATACAAACATCGTTTCACTTCACACAGGTATCAGAATATATTGGCTTACGATATCAGAACAGAACTTTCTTGACTTTAAAGAAATAATGAGGGAAAGAAATTGAGAAATAATACAATTTTAATTCACAAACTTTCAAATTTGAGGATGTAAACAGACAGAAAAGACAGACGTTCTCCAGTGATGAGTCAACAGTTCACCAACAGCCTCCTGCAGGTACTCTTACACTGTTGAACTCAGTCTAGTTGTCACAGGTTAACTTTTCAAATAAGATTCTAGCTTTTGTTCACTCTCAGGACAGATACAGTTGGGCTGCAGCGGACGATTATTTTAAGTATCCGTCAATTTATTTTTTGAGAGAAAAGCAACAAATCCTCACATTTGAAAAGCTGAAAATATTTGACATTTCAACTTTAAATAATTGATCCATTGGCAAAATAGTTGCCAATTAAGTTTCTTTCCAACGGCTTATCAATTTATAGTCTAATTGTTGCAGTCATAACATTCAATAGCATCCGGTGTTGCCTGTTTCTCTGGTAGTTTCCCAAAGGACATCACTTACTTAAGTAAGCAGTTTGAGAGAAAGCAACAACCAACTAAAAAGTTTCCAGGGGTTCAACCCAGAGAAAGTTACAACTCAGGTGTTTGGTGTTCACTTAATAAAACCTTCTGGAAACAAGAACCATGGAGTGGCCCCAGGAACCAGTGAGAGAACCAGAACCGCTGAAAGAAACCAATTTATCTGTATTCATATGCCAAAGCAGTAGGGTTGCAACAGTATTAGAATCTCCCGGTACGATTACTGTCTCAGAAAATATTGTGACATTACAGAATTATTATTATCATCAGTTACAATGAACCCTTAAAGGAATAAAAACAGAAGGATTTTTGTTAGCTAAAATATCACCAAATGCTTTTTAACATTAATACAGTAGAATTCAATACTGTGGATAAAAAAAGTACAAGGTATGAAAACTGTCAATTTTCATACTGAGGTAGGCCTATAACATGGTATCTTTATACGGCTGCAACCCATAGTCCCAAGATGAATAACTGGATACAAATCAAACCATATGGTCACGACTCAGATAGCCTGTATTAGACCTGTGACACAGGATTTTACTTTGTTTTAAAGGCAAACAGGTCAAAAAGGTTGGGAACCAGCCGTCTAAACATCTCAGTGAGCCAGATTCTAGAAATGTTTTTACTCTTGAGCATGACTTGGTAAGATGGTGGCACTAAAATTCCAACACAGGCAGAATGATATTATATATTATTAGAGATTGTCCATTCTAACTATTATTATTATTTAGTAAATTAACCAAATGTATTACAAATGAAGCCTTGGAAGTGTCTTCCAAATCATTCTAGTTATTCACGATGATGATGATGATGATGCCAAACCCCAGCCCTTAGTGTAACCATTAACCCTCTGCTGTTGCCTACCTTTACCTCCCCCAGGTAAACAGATGTGTGTGTCACTGTTGATAATGAGCTGTTCAGACCATCATCATCATCATCATCATCATCATCATCCTCATCATTATCATCACAGATCTCGTCCCAGAGTCAGTCGGAGCAAAAGAACAGCTGCTCTATAATTCAGATGCTCAGACTTATGTAATTCCCTCTCTCTTAAGGTAAAGGCTGCAAATGTCAAAGCTTGCATTAATGTGAGGCAAAGTGCAGTTCTCTCACTCACAGGTCGATACATCAATCCTGCAAGAGAAGGGGGAGCTGGGAGCTGGGAGGAGGGGGGGCAGGGAAACACTTCAGCCGTCCAAATGAAAGCTAAAACAAATCGACATGGGGTTCAAACAGCGAAACTGTCACAGTCTTACCGTACCAAATTGCCCAGTAGCATGTTCCAAACCGTGAATCCACTTTTGGCATTCCCCCTAAAAAAAACCGAAAGCGCAGAAATTGTGTCCAACGTCCGGTAGAACTCCTCTGTGCGCCTCCGCAGATCGATGGAGCAGAGCGCAGGGGTCCAACTATCTCTCTCTCTCTCTCACTCCGGTTGTTTGCCTCTGCCTCTCTCGGTCTTGGGCCAATAAGCATGAAGTAATGGTGACAGCTGCGCTCTGGTACAAGAGTGCGTCAGGTCGGGGTGACGCTCCGGAGTCCAACACAGTCAGCAGCACTGAACTGATCACCCAGAGAGAGAGGGTGAGCCAGAGAGGGGGGGGGGAGAAGGGAGAGAGAGAGAGGAGAGAGAGAGGGAGGGAGAGAGAGAGGAGAGAGAGAGAGAGAGAGAGAGAGAGGAGAGGGGAGGAGAGGAGAGAAGAGAAGGATGAGGGAGGGAGAGAGAGGCACTCCGAGGGAGCTGGGGGGTTGTATAATGTTCAATGTTCAGTCTGTCTTAAAGGAATATGGAGGCTTTACTTGCCCTTTGGGAAACTTAGTGACAAGAGACCAAAGCCATCCATGTGTCCCTGGTTGGTGTATGGGTTCATGCTGGAACTGTGGGCTGCATGGAGTGATAAGCTACTACTAATATGAACCTTAAAGACTGATCTCTGAGTATTAAAATGTTTGTAGAGATTTCTTCTGAGGCTGTTTAAAGTACAGAACAGAACTTCCACACATGAATCTGCACACACACACACATATTTAATGCTGAACAAATACGGCAGAACATGTCATAACAAAACTGTTTTGAATTTTTCCAGGAAAAGTTGCAGCATACTGTGAATCAAACTGCTGGCACACCACGTCCAGCTCCAAGAACTATAAGCTGACTGATCAAATGAGTTTCCTAACGTCTTACGGTAAAGTGGCAGCAACACAGTGACACAAGCTGACATTGCAGAAAGAGAAAGAAAACAAAGTAACCCATTATTGCACCACGAGAGTCTGCATGGATGTGTTGTCAGCTTCAGTCTTGGACTTGTGGTTGGAATTGTTGGTCTCAACCAAGTCCAGCAATATATGTTTTTGGATATTGGTATAATTAAAAAGAACGGGCAGTGACATCGATCAATCAGTGTCACTCACTGTCTCTGCACCCACTCTGTCTCTCTCATTTGCACTCGGTCTAGTCTTGGACTCAAACCTCTTTGGACTCGGCCTCAACTAGTCCTGGTCTTGGACTTGTCTTGCAGTCAACAAAGGTGGTTAGATTGCATAATTACATATTACAAATTACAGTGACAACAAATCTTTGAACTTAATGCAAATAGTTTGTAGCGCACCATAGTTAGTTTTTATGAAACCATCTTAATTCTAGTGTAGTTTAAGATTTTTTCATATGTTGTTGTCGAGTTGTCATATACACTTTGATGTACACATAAGAGTGTATGATAAGTAGAATATCAAGTTGAATATATTATAATCATGCACTTTCAGATGTGCAGTGTCTCCACTTATCTGCTCTCCATGTTTACTATATAGGCTAATCTACACAACAACAGCAGTCAGCTCAAGGCTATCAGAACCAGTGTGTGTGCAAACCAAAACTCATCCTGTCCTGTGTGTCCCATCTTAGATAATGATGATCAGTGTTTGGGTTTGTATTCAGCAGGCACAGATGGGACCAGCTTCACCTTACAGCAGTGGAATGGAGGGCATTTATTCATTACTTTCTTTACTTTGAACTTACTATCAAATGTGTCACCTTATACCCCGGCCTTTATAACCTATTGAAGCACTGAAAGTGTGTTGAATTTGAGAATAAGGCTTAGGGTAGGCTTTATATCTGGCAAGAATCAGACCAAAGATTCGCACACTGTACTAATCACTCCCAGCTATTTCAACGTTTCTTCTTACAGAGTTTTTTGTCAGACCTGGTTGAAAGTAACGCCAGAGGTGACTTTACATCAACAATCATCTTTTCAATATAAAATCTGCAATGGATGTGGTCATACAAGGCCTTGCAGCATCCTCATGTACGTCCAGACTTTGTTGTAAGCTGAGTGAACCAGTCAGGACAGACACTGCCGTGTTAACTGTGTGTTTACTGTGTGTTTACTATTGCCCACAATAGAGACAGGAAGTTAAGAGACAAAAACAGAAGAAGAAATGGTTAAGTTGCATAAGGTAAGCAGGGCTCCAGATCACTAGATGCACCCCGTTACTTCTATGAGGTGATATAAAACCTGTAAGATACCTGAATCCTGCGGTGAGCTAACAGTGAACTGGGCTGTGAGAGAGACATGTGAACATCTCATTGTTTTCCTCTGTAAACAATGAGACAAAGGCCCCACACTGTGAAGACAGCTCTCCTGTTGAAAGTTGTCTCTGCACTCCCGCTCTGCAGCAGATAAATGCCTCCGCCAGAGCTCTCTGCAAGACAGGTATCGGCCTTCGTTTTATGTTTGTCTGCTCTGTGATTTCGGAGGAATAGCACAGAAAGCCACAGCATTACGCTTCTTTTCACAGAGCTGCTATCAAAACACATCAGGGCTTTTGAAAGGCTCTGCTGTCACTGACAGCCTGCACTCTGCCGGGAACATTTTGTTCGGGGGGGGGGGCAAATCTCTCAGCTTTGAAAGAGATCTGTACATCCACCGCCTCCGGGGAAACATCCTCATCTTACAAAGACCACACACACATTCACGTATGCATGGGCACGCACACATACAGAAGAAGGGCTGCATGCAGAGTGCACACACACAAAGATACTCACACACATTAACACAAAATACAAAACATTTTGAGAGATCTGAAACGATGAAGCGTCACTCACAGTTGTCCCCGAGGCCTGCTGAGCTGTGTGTGCTTGTGTTTGTGTGTCTTCAAAGTGTAGGACAAACAGCGAACACACAGACACACACTCTGCCCCTGGCACAGATTACCTTCTATAAACCACAAAACAATGTGATTGGCCGGTTTGTCCCCCAGCACCTGAGGCCACGCTTAGCTGACTGATCCTGGCAGGAAGTCAGCTGCAGCTAGAGTTTCAGTGCACCTGGTCTCCGCATCCATGTGGGTCAAACTGTCAGCAGGATGCAGACAGGTATGGTCCAGCGGGCATTCAACCACATCCACAGGCTTTAACAAAAAGGTCTGAACATCTGTCACATCTGTCTGAGTTTTATTTCAGCTTCAGTTTTTTCAGTTTTTTCTCTTCATTGTATTTCTGTTCATCATTTTATAATGATTTGTAAAGTTTTTTATAAAGGTGTCGAAACTGGTATCTTGTGTATATACTGTATCATACACTATGACTTAATACCACAGAGTCCATCTAACTTTTACTTTCATCAGCTTTTAAAACGTATTTAGTATTAGAAGTAGATACGGTGGGATCAGGTCCCTCTTACTTCCACCAATACACAGTGTTTAATGTCAGCTTTGGAAAGTGCTTTTAATCATTGAGCTTTTGATGTTTTCTGATACCATCGTGGATCAAAGACATTGCAAAGATTGAAGCTTCAGTGCCTGAGGACAAGCTTACGCAGACATTAAGCTTCTCTCCTCTGGCTGGGGAAGGCCTCACTCACCTCCAGACCAGACTGACATTACAGCAGCTCAGGTCTTTGGCCGAGTGAAAGTCGGGAAAATGAGACTTTAAAAGTCTTGTAGCAACCATCTGATTGGCTCTTCCCTAGTGTAGATTTATTGGTTTTAGTATAACCTTTGCCCAAAGTGTCTGCAACAGTATTTTTCCAAACTTAGGTCTAACCACATGAGCTTATACTGAAGAAGATGGTTGGGTTTTGCACACGAACAAATCTCTAACACTGATTTATCAAGCTGAATGTGGCGACTCATTAGTGTCATTGCCAAAATCACAAACGGTTTCTTTCATTCCCTAGAAAGTGAAAGTCCCGCTGTCAGCTCATCATACACTATGTTACTTCTTGGTTAAATACTGAAAGACGGCAAAAAGCAGAAACAGCCATGATGCAATAACAGAACAGCTGTTAACTTTATGAACAGTGCTTACATGTGCACAGTTTTATACTGAAAACAGAATGAACTTACTTAGAAATCTGTGACTAACGTTGAAGACAGTCAGAAAAAAATAAATATTATGGGTAACACCACAATCTCTGACTAAATGATTCCAGTGTGAATGATTTATACTGCAACGTTCCATTCACACACTGCTGATAACAACCTGATACTGTGCTCACCCGTAAACTCACACATCGAGAGCACGGCCATCAGTAGCAGTTTAGGGTTCAGGATCTTGACCAAGGACCAATCATTGTAGTTTACTGTCGTTTATTGCTATATGCATCTCAATTTTTCGAAAAGCTGCTGCCAAATCAGGTTTTGTAACATTTAGGAGGATCTGTTGGCAGAAATGGAAGATAATAGTCATAGCTATTTTGTCATTGGTGTATAATCACCTGTGTTTTGTTATCTCAGAATGAGCCACTTTTATCCTGGCCACCATGTTGAACCGATAGGAGCTGAGAAGGCCATTGCGAGTTTCATAGCAATTGCAGCACTATATGCCACTAAAAACACACCACTGACATTATATCTCCTTATAAAGTTGTTTTGGCTAACATGTTAGCAAGCATTTCCCTTTTTACAAATACAGTAGACACAGAGCAATCATCATGTTTCTGATGAATGAATCTTATTATTCACTCTTCTTTTAGCTCCTAGGATACGTTGCTTCACCAGTAGACTCAGAATCTCTCACGCACACCCTGATAAATGTATGATTCTGCAGTGAAATGTGCCTTTAATGACACTGATTGTGGGACTGGATATATGCTCCTGCAGAGAATTTGAAGTTCAGAGTAGGATAGCACTCAAATACATTAACTCTGCTGACATTTGTGCATCGTAATTCAGGAACAGTAATGTACTTTGGACAAAGTTAATATTTGCCTCACTATGCTCAAACACACACCCACACTTCACACACACACAGTGACTCAAACACACACACACACACGAACAAACTGTTCCAATGTTCACATGTCTCAATTAACATAAATGTCCCATAGCACCCACACAGTGCAGCATTTGTGCACATATTGAGCACTTCCAAAAGGTTTGGTTTTCAAAATGAGATGATTTGTCATGATTCTTGTGTTTTTGGCACAATTTGACACTTTTGGGTGACACACTTTAGATACATGAGCAATTGTATTATTTTGATTATTACATATATTTATAATCTCTTCTCTGATTTTTGTATTCTATATATTTCTAACTAGTCTAGTCAGTACAGCCTCAACAGTAAGCCACCCTACATTTTACTGCACATGTTGAATGAGCATGTGATGGAAAAAAACAAAAGATTCTTTAAATTTTGGATGTTGAATCTTTCAATTGTTTTCAGATTTTCTTCCAGATTCCCAAAGAACATTTACCACAGGCAGATATTTGACCTTATTTTTGAGAAACCAGACAGAAAGGTGAATCAGGAAAGGTTAAGCAGCTTTATTTATAAAGCACATTTCAAACCCAGTGTTTTACATAGGCAAAGAAAAGCAGAGCTTGGGCATCTTTACAGCTCTGGAATCAAGCTGAGCTGTAATTTTCATTCTTTCCTCCTTTTTGTCAAATACAATGATCCCTGTCAGCTCACTGGTCACTTGGTGAGAGAGCTGAGTAAAACTAAAGACATCCCTCATGTTTTAAACTGTCTTCAAACAGGGGCTGAGGTGGCTCTACATTTAGGTGACCTTGGCATTAAGATATGTCCCTGTGAAGCAGACTCTCATGGCGTCCAATTGAATCTATAAACCCAACAAGATTTAAGAACTTGTTAGATAAACCCTTTGTTGCTAATATTATTTCTGTATGTCCAGTTTACATGTGTTAGGGTGACCTCAAAGTCTCAAAGTACAGTTGTTTTGTTCTGTCTGTTCAGAAAAAGTACATATATATGTATATTTTTACTTTTCTGGGGTACAAACAAGCTGTTTAACTGCCTTAACACCAGCACTCCCTGTTGGTAACCACAGGTATACTTACGCTTTACAAAGGGCAAAAATACAGTACAATTATATATAACCAATTATATTATTCACATACTATTAATTATTATTAATTTTATTCTCATTACAGCAATTACTTTTCTTCTTGATGTCTGTTACAGTTATTGGGATATAAATATTTTACTGGGTGGTATCTTCAGATGTTAATCACTCATTTTCTTCAGGAAATGAAAATATTCTAGTTTTTCTTATGACTTTGTTTTATTAGATTTCTCATACCCTTTTTTCCTTCTATATACAGTTTCAATTTTGAATGTGTCACAAGCTTTTCTCCAGCAGAGGGCAGCATTAGCTCTGTTACAGTAAAAAGGAGGTGAGAGATGGAGATGAAAGGAAAAATGCAGAGAGCCATTCACACAATGACTTTAGAGTAGTGCTGGAGAGCTGAAAGAGTACACACATGTTATAATACTGTATACTACAATTGGATACTGAACATATACTAAAATGTGTCTTATTATAAGATATCACGATCATAATTTTGTTTAAGTTTAATATCTGTTTGTGCATTCGGTAGTGTAATGATCAGATTTTAGGTTTTAATATGTGTTGTTATATACAATCCTCTGTATGTGAAAAATTGACCACTGGAAACCTCCAGGTGTATTAAATAGACACTGAATCAATGCTGAAATACAGACATCATGTTAATGGTTGTGTATAACACTGTATATTGACTGTTCTCAGCCCTGCAGCGTGTGAGCTTATCGATCCGTGAAATCAATGAGACACAGCAGCATTAGATCATCAAGCTGTTGAGTTTATGAAGACACTGTTACATCATCAGTGATTGAAATGTTAAAGCAAATCCTCAGCACACTTTTTCAGTTATCAAACTGACCTCAAAAGGTCCTGTACAATTATGAAATGGTCTTCATGAAGGAGCAGTTCCACTGGTGCAACTGCAGGTTTAGCCTGCCTTGCTCAAGGGCATTTACACTGAGGGTGCAATGAGGAAGGGGAGAGTTTAGTTACTGACTGCTACATAGCTGACCCTTAATGCCACTATTGTCCTCAGTCATCCCTGTAATTCTGCTGTTAAATTAGAAAAACCTATCCTAACACAACTGTATCATGCCCACTGTCTCAGGGCAATGATGGAAAACATGTTTATTGTAAGCTAATTCTGAATTTAGCTTTCAATTTTTAGAAGATTGATGAAAAAAAACACAAATAAAAACATATGTATTAATATTATATTCAATTTATTTCAATTTATTACATGTTACACACTGGACCTTTAAGCCATAAACACAGGAGAGAAAACTAACTAGATCAGATCATGAAAATGGATCACCAGATTTTTTTTTTTTTTTTTTGCTTCTCAGGGCTTCTGTAGTTATCTCAGTCGGACTTCACTTGAGGTCAACTGCTATAAAGCTGTACAGTTTACAACTGCTGCTCTTGATTGAAGCAAACAAATAAATCAAGTGACGCAGACATTTTATCATCTCCAGAGCTCTGGGGTCACTGTGTCAAAGGTTAAGATACCACAGAATTTGTTTTTGCTTGACAGTGCAGTCCGTTAGATAGATCGGGACCACTCATGTAAAAAAGACCTCCTAATAGACAAGTACACAAGTTTTAGGTTTGGTCCCGAAAAATAAGGATTTTTAGCTGTGACTGTCTGTTGGTAACTGTTGTTCACTAACAACATTAAACTGTTCTGGTTCTATAAACGGGTTCCTATAAACCCTCCACATACTCCTCAAGGACCCTTGTTGCTTGGATGCCGATTAAAATGTGAATGCAAAAGGTTTTTTTCTGTCCAGCACATACAATAATTACAACAAAAAAAAACTGAAAATGCCAATTGACCCATCGACCTTCAGCAATACTTCCAGAGCTTTAAGGAATTCTAGTAATTAAGATCACAATTCAGTGGAAATGATTGATTCATACGACAGAAAGCAGAAAAATTAGGAAGACAACTTGACATTGACCATTGTTTCCTAGAGTGATAACAGTATAACAGTCATTGAGGCTGAATCGATATCTTTCTGTCAGCTAGAGAATCACATGGCACAACAACAAACCAATGTCAGGCAACTCCTTAAAAAAACTTATTTTGAGCTAAATGCTAATGCTACAACGCTCACAGTGACTATGCTGCTGTTAGAGATCATGTTCATAATTGGGACAACATCCTATTCATCAGCATTATCAAGCGAAAGTATGAGTATGTGTAACCGTAAACACAAATAAATGCTGATGTCTTGTTGTTATCTTCGAAAGCCATGTTGGCTGCTTGACTCATGATCAGGAACTGAAACAGCAACACTGATTGATCAGCTCTGATCTAAAGAGTCAGGAATGTTCCTCCTGCAGACAGAGCAGGAAGCGTGTTTACTCTGTCTGCAACATGTTGTTGTTGTTGATGTTGATGGCGACGGCTGCTGCTTATTTCATCATTGTTGTTGTTCTCAGCCACGTTGTCCAAATGACTCAGCTGACAAGTTCTGACAGGTTTCTTCTGAGAACGAGTGCTAGAGAAGGCAATTTCTATTTCATTTTTCTGTATTAAAATTATATCTCTTTAAATATATCCACATCCATTCAAACATGGGCAAACAGGTCAGCGGTTACATTTACAGACAATTCTCTTTTCTCATTTGAAAATAACTGTGACTGCAGGATATGGATTATACTGATCACATAATATTTGAGTCTTTCAAAACGAGATTTTGTCTGCACTAGCGTCTCTGTACAGTATCGACTGATGGAAATCTCCGCTGCTTTTGCCCATGTCCTGATTCTCCTCCGTCCATCAGAGCAGAAAAGTTCTTTGTGTTTCCTTTTCCTCTCCAGCTGCAGCCTCCTACAGTCTGCATGGCAACCAGGCTGAAGCTCAGGCACATTCAGAACCAACGACAAACCTTGAGACTGTTGTTTGCTGCAGAACTGCCAAACTCTCTTTGTATTACAGCTTTTTCCAAAGTTGCCCAATGGAAGACTTTTATGGACAAATCCGCTCTTATCAGTGGGGATCACAAACTGTAGCCTGCAGAGACCGACTATGATGCAAAAGGTTAAACACAGATATTATTGATATTATTCAGTCTCCTCAAGAACAGACAGTTCTGGTTCAGACATCAGAATTAGAAATCCTCAAACATATGGCTTGTTGCCAGGCAAAACAGTTGAATAAGAAAAAGTGATTTTAGTGTGTGGAGTCAAACCAGCAACCTGGAAGACTGCATGTCCCTCAGGGCTAAAGGGGAAATCAAATCTCCAACTCAAACCCCTCAGATTCACACAGACCTCATTTTTATACTTTATTATGTTCCATTTTGTGCAGGTTTTACAAGATACATTATACATTATTTTATCATAAGTCCCTTTTTTTGCTCCTGAAGGGATTTCTCCAACTGTACTTTAAATTTCATTTTAAAGATGAAAATCGTTTTTAAATGTTATCTTTTCTGCAATGCAATGAATTTTAGAAGCTCTCACTAAAGCTTTTTGTAATTTCGTGAAATGTTTGTTCTCTACTGCGCAGTAAAGATTTTTGTGTGGTGCAAGAAATATCACTGTTATAAAGCTCAACATCTAATCACACATTGAAAAAGATTCATTCTATAACATAAAAAAGATTTCACATGCAGCATTTTCATTGTCAACCATGGAAGCAAAAGCTGGTGGCTCAGTCTTATTTCATGTCTTTTAGAAGGATTTTCTAGACTGACGTACTCAGGACCTTGAGCTTTATTTCATTTTGAGAAGTGATCATTGTTCATATTACCTTTCTGTTTCAGAGAGGAAAAATTCCATTTGAAAGTGTCTCCTCCTCCCTCCTCCTGAGGGTCAGTTTGTTTGTTTAAGGGTTTAATATTTAGCTCACACACACTCTTTTTTTCTAACCGGATGACTACCCTTGCTTTCAGATCTGTAAACACACACTAACTCACCAGCTGATTGAGAAAACTTTGGTAGCTCTGGTCAGGCTTCTGCAGAGGCTCAGTTACTGCCAGAGAGCTGTTACAGACTGATGGTGTGTCTGTCTGAGTGTCCGTCCATGTATCCTTCTTCTCTGTGTATGTGAGCACTTCCTCCTTTGGATTCATCCTCAGCAGCTTTCTACTCTGAGCGATTGGATAAACGACTGAGGAGAGATGGGACCTCGTACAGCCGGTAAGAACTGCTTCAGTGTATTTCCTGAACACTGGAAATATTCCATTGCAGTCCAGATAATCACCACAAACAAATACTGGAGTAAAGAGGTCAAGGGTCATAGCCAAATATTCACATAGCAACATGTGATTTAAAAATCTCCGGCTGCTCGATGCTAAAAGGCCATTTTTGCTATTTGCGTTTGCATTTTGCTTTTAAACTTTTGAACTCTTTTATAAACCTGTCTTTGAGCTGTCACTAGTTACACAATGAAGTTTTTAGCTGAGACTCTTCAGTGGTAAATTATAGCTCCGGTTTTCCATTTCTTGTAATTGGTCATTATCATTGTCCTTCTTTTCAGCCACAGATCTGAAATATCCTGCCATCAGAAATACAAATATAATTATTACTTATTTTCAAGCTTTCAATACTGAGGCAAAACTCTGGCTTGTTATTACATAACATAGAATACCATCTTGTATAAATCAATAACAAATGTATAATTTGTTACACCGTACACTGGAATATAGAATTATAAATAGATTTTAATAGTTCATTTAGAGCAAATCTGTGCACACTGAGACACATGGGTTATATAGCATATATACAACCTCTTCCTTTTGTTGTTTTAAATGGTCATTTTAGTCGTTGTTGTCTCAGTTACTGTTTGCAGTGGTTGTTTGTGTATGTCTGTCTAATTGTTAGTCTTTAATACAGGTATTAGAGTGTTGTAGTTTGTGTTTTACTCTTTAAAAGCCCAACCAGGGACAAAGACTGCCAAATAGCTACAGCTACAGTTCCTATACACAACTTGTATTGTCCTATAATAAACAGGAAACATGGGGGGAACAAAGGGGACGACATGCAACAAACATCCTCATCCAGAATCTAACTGGGAGAAATCTTGGACAACTCCATTTTTAATGATATAATCTCTGATAAAGAGGCATGTGCTCAGTTAATTTTTATTTTAGGTAATGAAGTAAAAAAAAAAACAACAACACACAAAATCAAACACTGGTCCTCTTCACATCACTTTAAAGAAGCCAAAAAATCATTTCTAATATTGTTTTAACTGACTTTAGTATTATCTCTTTGTGATGATGATGATGATGATGATGATGATGATGATGATGACGATGATGATGATGATCTTCAGAAGCACCCAGGCAGTAGGAACGTGTGAATGTGGATGAATGCCATCAGTTATATGCTGTTGTAGCAAGAAACAACAATCAGACTTTCTATGGTGAAACATTATATAAAACATACAGTTTTTACATTTCAGAGAGTTTACAGTGGCCATGTGTATGCAGGTACCATGGCTACAAGAGCAAATAGTGAATTAATTATTATCCTGAACAGGAAGTGTTATTGTTGTGATGATACAAAGGCTGACATGTTTCGACAAACAGTAAACAAATGAACTTTATCATTTTATTGTCATTTTATTATCTCGGTGTATGAGGTCGTCTTCTCTGAGTCACGGAGTCATCCTAGCGTCCAAAGGCCCAATTCAAAATCTGTGGGTGATGAAATAAGATTCATAACACGCTTTTTACACTCAAAAGATGATTCTTCAATAAGCAATCATTAAAATTAGTAAATCTTAACCTTTCTTAGCCACGTAAGCAAATGAGACACAGACTAAGCTGTTAATCAAAAATGTGGCAGCTTTATAATGATTTTCTGCCCAAAATCAACAAGTATCAAACACCCTGCAGACTTGGTGACAAGGTGAATGGGCCCAAAGCCTGAGACTGTGATGGAGGTCCAGGTTTACATCCACTTCCTCTGCACTTAATTGGTAACGTTTTTCATTCATCAGGTTGTACATAGTCGAGAGAGAGAGACAGGAAATGTGGGGGAAAGAAAGCAGGTGGATTTAAACAAGAGACACTGAGGTTATATTATGCGCTTGTGTTAGTCCGTTAATCCGCGTAACCAGAATGTAACATAGTATTTTATTTTTTTTATTAAACTGGACAGCCAGCCATTTGGCAGATCTGTTCAGCGTGAACCAAAAACAATGTTTGTGCTACACTTGATGATGTTTGGAGTAACGTATCGAATTTGAGGTATTGCTTCCGTGTTGCATCTTACTGCAGATATCAGCTCAAACTCAAAAAGAGCACAAGTGAATAAGGTTAGGGTTAGCAAGCAGTGGTTGGGGTAAGTCTCCAGGAAATGAATGTAAGTAAAGGGACATCTTACACGCACAACAAACCAAAGTTGTCAAAGCAAACAACCAAAAGGACAAAAACACAATACATATCTAATAAGAATAAGAAAAATAATGATGTAATAAACAAATATAACTGATTTCATACAGCCTCACAATCTCAGAACAAAATAATATATACAAAGAAAGCAACAAAACACATGAAAGCACGAAAACAAGAGTAAAGCCTTTCTTTCTGAATGATGGTCAAACAGAGCACTTCTGTAGAAGGAGGAGTTCTGGGACATTTGGGCCATGTATCTCCCCGTCTCAAAGCCCCCTCAGCCAACACCGTGACCTCTGTGTGTCTTTCTTATCTGTGCTATTTAAGGAAGCGTTGGCTGTTTGAACAGAAACAGAATTGTTGGGAGCTGAATTGAGGAAGTTAAACACAAAACTGGGTCAGTTCTGATTCTGATTATCGTCATGGAGCTCTCCACCTGATCCTTTCCTCTCTCTCCATCAGTGGCTCCTTCTAAGGAGGTGAAGGCGGTTACAGGCAGAGGATGCGGAGGTCAGGGAGGAGCCCGGCTGAGGAGCAGCAGTGACGGCAGCAGATACAGCAGAAGAGGAGTCGGCCTAGCCAACAACTCCTCCTCCTCCTACTCCTCCTCCACCTCCTCCTCCTCTTCCTCCTCCTCCTCTCCATTGCTCTCTAACCCCAAATCAGGTAAAAAATTAACAAAAACTGTACAAGCCTTTTAATCTTCAATGGTATTTAGGACAGTTGAGGTGACAATGTTTAAAGTCACATACAAAGGTTAATTGGCCAATGAGAAAAAAGAAAAGATGTTTTATGTGGTGTTGTTGCTTTGTGATTTTCTGTTGTTGAAAAAAAGATGACTCAGTTTATATATTTACTTAGAAATTCTGACTTTTGTTTGATGTTTAGTCTTGAAGAAACCAGTGAGCACCGATGAGCTGCAGAGACCAGGAGGACCCTACATAAAGAAAACATTTACAGTATGTTTCATCCTTGTATTTAGTATTCAGATCCTATACTTGAGTAAAAGTACTAATACCACACTGTGAAAATACTGCATTCAAATTGTACTAGTAAGTATCTAAGTGTCAAGAGTAAAAGTATTGATTCTGCAGTAAAATGGTCCCTGTCAGTTTTTACTATTATATGTGATGTTTTTGGATTGATATTCCTGCATTAATGTGTATGATTAGCAAGGCATCATATTGTAAAAGATCATATGTGTGCAGCATGGCCATCCTGTGGGAACCACATACAGTGGTGTGAAAAA